GCATCCCAAATGGTAGTCCTAATCATTGCTTCACCACCTCAGCCTTAGAATCAGTCATAACCTCTTCTTTCCTGCAATTTTTCTTGGGTTTCAAATGCTCTCACTGTAACTTGGTCTTCCTCCTGCACCTGACTGGGAGGTGTTGGGTCCATGGCTGGTTGGGTGATGTAACTGGGCAGGCTAAGGACATGCAGGCCCAGCCACAAAGAACAGCTGGTGGTAATGTCAGCACAGGTTCTGTATAGGTGCCTGGGAAGAATGGATACTGCTGCAAATTGTTTTGAAGGAGTTTGCAGGCTGGGATTAAAGAAACATTGTAAGAAACAATGACTGACATGTTGGCATGTCTACATGTCACCTACCAAGGCATTTTTTTTTTCTTGTAAGGCACACATTTCCAAACATCTTTTTTCTTCTTCACTGGCAGCAGTATCCCTGTGAGGAATGCTACTGCATGACTGAGTATCAAGGCACCATGAATATTGCTAAACACAACTTCATATCCTACCACAAGCATGGCCTGTATCCCAACAAAGCCCTGCTTATCACCTGCTTATTTGTAGAGGATGTACCTTTGCTGATTGATCAGCAATTGAGTCAGATCCATGGGAGTTTTCTCAATATCTTTGATAATGTTAAGTCTGCACCCTTGGCAAAAAACACCAGTGGTATGGTGAATTCATTAATGAATAAATGTGATTTGATGACCTCATCAAATATCTGGAGGTTCACACCAAGAGGAAAACTGTGATGATCTCAATTTGCAACCTGCCAGAAACACATAATGCCTTTTAATATTTGCTCATATTCCACCTTCCTACTGCATCAGAAGAATGTAATGTAGCCAGCGCTGCTAGATACTCCTTCCTTAAAGGAAGCTGACACGCCATCAAGTTCAGTGGTTTTTCTGTCACAGACCTCAACAGCATCCTGTAAAATCTAAGTAATTTAGTCAAAAGTGCTTTAAACAAAAAATGTTATATGAAATTTAGTAGACTAAACCTCAGAAAAACGAGTGTAATTTAGCATTATTTCAATAAATATTTTAAAGAGATTGACAGTGAAATACTGAACTCCCTTAAAAATAAATTTAAAGTTACTCCTAGGTTTAAGTTTCAGTTTTGTGTTGGTGAAGCAGAAGAAAGGGAACTTAGATCACTTTGCAGCCTTTTGTTCTTTTTTTATATAACACTTCAGTGTAAAAGAAGAAAACCAGTCTATGTGAAACCATATCCTCTTTTTCCACTTGTCTTTTGCAAATTCTTTGGGAGGGATACAAATTCTACTGGCCAAATTAATATCTGAGTTTCTCAAACAGAAATGTTTACTCACCTTCACAGTGAACAAAATTCTAGCAGAAACAACATTCACAAAATTTTCCCTTACTGACATAATTTTCTTACATACAACGAGGCAACTTGCTAGATGAGGTCTGACATTTAAAGGCTGATTGTAAACCATACCTTTTTTCTACTGTTTCTAGTTTCACTAAGTTTCAGATTATAACAGCATATTGAAAACATAAGCCATAAAATGCAGCAGTGTTAAAAAGCAGGTGCACTGGTGAAGTAAGATCTTCTTTCTCTTAAATGACACGTGAATAATCTGCATTCTTCAAAGAAAAATAAAGTTTTATTGTCAGGAGAAACTGTCAATGCAAGTACAGATAAGAAAATAAAAATAACTTAATATAAGAATAGTTTAACAGGTAACAGACAAGAAAGAAGTAAATGTACCGTGGGGAATATGCAAATCATACTGACTGAAGTCAGTCATCTGCCTACTAGCTTATATTTTGAGATCACAAAACTGAACTTAATATCCATTTCCTTATTGTTTTCAGGTTGACTGGTATCATTGGTATCGGGACTGGTATCATTGTATGAATTTGCAATTCCTTTCCCTGAACTGCTTTACTATATTGTACTATACTAACTAGCAGTACCATGCAGAAACCTCACAGGGCTATTGTACTTTAAGACTCATATGCAACATAATACTGAAATACCAATTATTTTCTTCTCCTGCTGTTTTGCTCAGATCATGCTACCCTTGCTACTGTGTCAGGAATTAGCAGGTTGCAATGCTCTTCCTTATTTTCCTGTTATAGCCTTCCTCCCTAATTCTCTGCTAAAGCCTTAAACACTTTACTCCATCATTAAAATCAGTCTTTGCTTCATCATTAAAATGGTTTGGCTTGCACTGAGATCTTCCATATTAGGAAAGGGAGTAAGTTATTTCAAGTGCAGCCAACTAAAGTAATAATTAAACACAACTTCCTGGTACCCAGCAACACTTTACTGCTTTCTGATGTTGTATATTTTGTCTACAAATATCTTAGAATAAAATGCTTAAATTGTGCCACCCAGATTTAAGTTTGCAATGCTCATTTGGCTGCCACCACACTAACATACACAGGTTTTACATCTGTCTTTACAAAGTAGACTTTATTACATGGTTCAGCAGAAAAGAAAGGACAGCTAACACTTACAGCAAAATTCTAGTATTTGAATACAAACTTTAAAGAAACCAAAAGAAAACCCAGAAACCATACTATTTGTTTTAGGTAATTTTGTTCAAAAGAAAAATGAGCAGTGTCATGTGAGCTGATGAAAAGCAGAACCACTTAAGGCACCATGACACAAAGTTTAATCACCTTTGTTTCCCAATACCAAATGTCTCGCTGACATGTAACTGAAATTTCAGTATTACAAATAGTCTCATTTTGTACTTACACCCATTTTTTAGTATGCACTGCAATGCAAAACTGCTCATTCCCAATGTCTTTCTGACCTTCTCCTCTTTTACAAAATCTTGTAATTTTTTTAAATCAATGCCTTAATAACAAAATTTTATAAAGCTGTGCAGTCCCAGGACAGCAAAAACATCTACCACCAGGCAGGGTTCTAGTAGGCACAGCTTTGAAAAACTGATCAGATTTTTCCTCTAAAATAGGATGCATCATACAAGGTAACCTGAGTCACTGAAACAAGAATGCAAAAAGATTCATTTTATAATGCATTCGTTCTAAAATTCTAGAAATCAACAGCATGTATATGCTGTTGGAATTTATTGTTGGAATAAATATGGTTATATCTCCAAGGACAAGCTAAATCAATGGATTAAATGAATTATCTTATAATTTCTTAACCAGGCTTTCACATGCTTGTTAAAATTGATGACTAAAGAAGATGTGAACTGTTTAGAGTGGAATATCATCAATATTATCAGTATTAAATATTTTAATCTACACAAGTATAGGAAGAGTCAAGAATAAATACCAAGTTCATTTATAACCATTACCATACAAGCCATAGAAGATGTACAAACAAGATGAAGCCCAGCATATTTTACCATAACAGTACTCAAACTAGTGCTACTGAACCTTATTTTGAGAGCAGAGAACCCCACCTGGGTTTTGGGCGTGTGCACGTATCAGGCCAATCCCTTCTCTGTTACATTTACACCTTCTAACAGGGAGAAATGTGTTACCTATTTGCTAAACCTCTGGCCCACAAAAAGCTGGGGAGCGCACAGCACTGTTAAAATTACCTGTAGTTCTGTCTTACACATGGTATGTGCCCCCTCACAGTTCCTAGTGGAGACCAGAGAGGGCCAACATTCATCTTGCTGGTTGATTATAGATGGATGACAGCACATGCACCCTGCACTGTGTTTGTTATTCACACTGGGCTCCTTCAGTGCTCCGTGTGTCTGAACCAGGCCTGGGGCTGACCTGCTGGGAAGCAGCTCTGCAGAGAAGGGCCTGAGGGTCCTGGTGGGCAACAAGCCGTCCATGAGCCAGCAGCGTGTCCTCGTGGCCAAGAATGCCAGTGGTATCCTGGGGAGCACTAGGAAGAACATTGCCAGCAGGTCACGGAAGGTGATCCTGCCCCTGTACTCAGCCCTGCTGAGGCCTCACCTGGAGTGCTCACTCCAGTTCTGGGCTCCTCAGGACATGAGAGACATGGAGGTCCCAGAGAGGGTCCAAGAGAGAGCAAGAGAGGCGAGTAAAGGACAGTGTTCCTCTTACAAGGAAAGGCTGAGGGAGCTGGGCCTCTTCCGACTCAAGAACAAACATCCCCATTGAAGAGAGGACCCCATCGGTGCTTACTAGCGTCTGAAAGAGGGTGTCAAGTGGGTGGAGCCAGGCTCCTCTCAGGAGTGCCAGGCAATGGGACAAGAGACAACAGGCAGAAACGGATCAAGTTCCACCTGAACGCAAGGAAGAACTTTTACTGTGCAGGTGACTGAGCACTGGAACAGACTGCCCCGAGAGGGTGCGGAGTCTCCCACACGGAAGATATTCTAGAGCCGCCTGACACACTCCAGTGCCATGTGCGAAGTCCCTGCTGGAGCAAGGAGACTGCGGCACACAGGAACGGCGATACCCGCCAACGCAGGCCCACACCCCGCAAACCAAAGCGCTCTTGACGAGAGCGCCCCGAAAGAAAAAT